TTTAAGAATAAAAAACTGTTTTGGAGATGATAACCAAACATGACCTAAATTTTAAAACCAAACAACTAGAAAGTTTAACTAGAGAAAAAAAAGTAGTCATTTTTTATGTTCAATTGAGTTTTAGTTTAATCTCTATGTGTCCACTGTCAACAATTTGGAGCTTTCTCGCAAGATGTTTGAAAACACATCTAAGAAGGATTTGATTTGTTGAAATGTGATGATTAGTGGGTGTGATGATTAACACCCTTTTTTTGCTATCTCATTTCTCCGAGTTTTTTTCTTCCATTTCTTTGTCTAAATCTTTAGGCCTTGACTAGAAAATTTTAAGCATCCACTGATTTATGAGGTATTGGCCTAATGGTTGTATCGGAGCTTACAAGAGGTTAGTGTTAATTGGTCTCCACTAGGCTTATTCGGTAGGTAGGGCTACCTATTTTCCGCCTTTCCTATTCATCTTCTTGTCTTTTTGTTTGCTATTTTATTTGGGTCAAATATGATTCTAAGTTATTTGGTAGAAATAGGTATTTATCTATTAAAATTGAAAGGTACTTCTTGCGAATGCTTGGTGAGGAAAATTCCATTTATTGGAGTATTTCTTTCCCATTTCTAGATTGTCACTATGGACAAATTATGGCAGTTGCATTCAATTCTTATGTGTAAAATCATTCAAATTTTTCCTCAATTCCCTACTCCCATACTGATTAACGGTGGGCACGTGCTCCTGTCTTTTCATTCCTTGCATGGTTAATTTATTCTTTCTCTTCAAAGGTTCCAAGTACCCCAGTTAACTATTTTCTCTTTGCTAAATATTTTATCACAAGAATTATTCCTCTTCATAGGTTCTAGAGCTTAAACTAACAGTAGATAATTATTTTTGTTTGTCACATAAGGAGGGTATTTTTCTAATTTTTTTTAACTTACTTAAACCTATGTACAAGGATCAAAATGTCGTGTCGACACGTCCGAAACGTCCGAAACGTTTCGGAATTTCAACACTCCGAAACGAAACAGTAGTTGAATCACAAAATTCCAGTGTTTCGGTCGAAACGGTACTGTTTCGGACCGTTTCGGTCGAAACGGCATTGTTTCGAACTGTTTCGACAAAACAGTGATATATTCGGTTCATTATGAATAATTACATTTAATACCCCATTATAATTACATTTAATACCCACTGTAATTACATTTAATACTCACTATAATTATATTTAATATCCCACTATAATTACATTTAATTTCCACTGCTCTTCTGTCTTTTATAATTTTTTTGTTATAAGAATAAATAATTACACTTAATACCCTACTATAATTATATTTAATACCCATTATAATTATATTTAATACATACTGTAATTATATTTAATACCTCACTGCTGTGCAAGTTTTTTGCTTTTTTTTTTTGTTATAAGTATTAACAATTACATTTAATACCCTAATGTAATTATATTTAATACCTACTGTAATTACATTTAATACCCACTGCAATTACATTTAATTTTTAAGTATACATAAGTATCATTAATTTAATTTGATACCCTTCATTATTAGTATTATAATAAAATAGTATTATTAATTGGATTATATTACCGTAATAATATGATTTGGAGTAACTATTGTCATCATATTTATGTCACATATGGAGTTTCTCTAAGTAGCTACCCAGAGCCTACACCGATGTATGAGCCTACTCGACACTCCACAGGGGAATGGATGTAATCATGTAAGTATGTACTCATTAGCATTTCATGTGTATTATAAGACGTTAATATTATGTAAAAATGTGTTTATTTCATAAAAATTAAGTGTTTGAAACTAATTTAAGTGACTTTCGCCTCAAGTCAAGCCTTTTTTTCCCTCAAATTTAAATTTATTCTTGTATAAATTGATGTTAACCTAATAAATATGTTGAATTAATAAATTATTTAGCATATCTTTATAAATTAATGGATTGCATTTGTGTTTCTATGCGTTTCCATATTTTTTTTGCGTTTCCATTGCGTTTCCGAAATGTTTCCGAAACGTTTCTATTTTTGAGTTGACCGAAACGGTACTTCGAAACGAAATTTTGATCCTTGCCTATGTAATACTTTCTCTTTCTAGAAAATTATGTTACCTATTTGAGCCAAGTAATTTCAGTGGATTGAAGGCTTAGATGACGCCTTGAATAATGAATGATGATATCTAGAGTGTTCTAGAATTTAGAGTCTGATTTATAGGATTAGCACTTTAGTGCTTTGGACTTTATTCTTTAGTTTAGGAATAACTTCCTCTAGAGAGTTTTGTTTTTATGAGCATACTGTTACTGAGATTAATAATTAATAATTTTTCATTATTTGCAGGTCAAATGAGCATGGTGGTGTCATATTAATTTCTAAATCTTGAGAAGGTATAAATTTTTATCCCCTACACATTGTCACGCTCATCTGTAGCATGGTGGTGCTTGACTTGATCACATCTGTTTAGCATTGAAAAATTAGGTATTGTCGTGTTCAATTATTTTGCCTCTCTTTGCTATATTTTCTTACTGTTGAAATTTTTTGTTTGGATTTGGAATTAATTTTTTTGGTGGTTGAATTTGGTTGGTTTCTTTGTATTATTGGTTGATACTAAGTCTCTATGTCATCTTTGGATTTTGTAAATTGCGTTACATGTTGATATTTTCTTGGGGTCCTATTTTTAGGGAAAATTTTATTCCAAATTTTCTGAAAGAAAAAAAAACATCTTCATCAAATATTGGTGATTTCTTTATTCATCATAACACGGTACTTTCTGGCACGGACAATTTTTTTTACTGACCTTACAAGTTGATTTTTAAATAAATATTTTTGAGCGTTCTAATTAGGTATGTAGTTTCAAACATATGAATTTTATGCTTTTTCAGTTTACATTTCTGGCATTTTGATTATTAAAGTTAGGTTTTCTACATTTTTCTATTGTAAATTTGTCTTCAAGAAAATCTTTATATTGATAATACTGTGTTGAGCATGTATGCAAAGTGTGGTGAGTTAAGAGATGCAATTTAAATTTTCAGCATATTACGGTCATTTTTAATATTTAATTATTTCGACTCTACAATCAATATTTGATTATTTTTTGAATTGCACCGTACCGTCAAGCACGGGTTATCGCTAGTGAATCAACATTGGACGTGTGTTTTGGTCACCCATCATATTGCTCTCCTTTCTTTCTAGGTCGCTTTCCTATTATATTCTACTCTACTAATGTTGTAATTGTCTTCAATGTCAATCTAATATAAATAGGTGATTGGGTGTAGATAATATACATCCTACACCTAATATTGTTTTATAATCTCTTTTTGCTATTCTTCTTTTCCTATTACTTTCCTAAACCCTAATATTCAAGTTTCAACTGCTTTAGAAGGGAAAAGAAAAATGAAACAAATCAAAAATATGAAAGCTTCAGTAGGTGATGCAGTACATGTGGTTCCTGATCATATTTTGATATGACCAATCAAGGTTTCAGTAGGTGATGCAATTAAAACTATGAAAGCTAAGGCAATAAGGGTCTAAACTTTGTATTCATTTCAAACATCAAGCAATATGATTCAATTTTGTCAGAGGGATCTCTTAACTGCAAAATGTGAGGCATGTATATTATAATGCTTTAAAACTATCTCTTGGAACATTATCAAGAAAAATTTAGCGAAATAGTTACACGTAGTGTTCCACTATCAAGTAGAATTCCAAGTTCTTACCAATAAAGAAAATTGTATGCTCCTGAAGTTTATCTACCAAATGCTGGACCTGCAGAAGGTGTAATGGCGACTACATGTAAGTAATTGTACGAACTTGAAAGAAGATCATATAAGAGTTGGTAAGACTATTTGAGAGAGAGATAATCTGAATAGAATTTGATAGGCAATCAATAATTAGGTGATTGTCCTCGTGCATAATGAAATAAAAAATTACCAAAAATACTTTATTATACATATCACACTCCATCACGCACCGTCAAGCTCGAACATAGATATCTGTCACGTGATGCTTTTACAAAGATCAGAAAAATATCCCTTACCTACAGTCTTAGTAAACATGTCTGATAGCTAAGTATTTGACCAAACAAAAAATTCCAATATTCTACTTCTTTATCAACATATCCTGAACAAAATAACAATCAACTTCAATGTGCTTGGTTCTCTTATGAAACATCATGATAGCCATGTAGTTATTGCAATACATCTTCATAGGCTTTTCCCTAGAAATAACACCTCTTGTAATTGTGACTTCACCCACATTTCACCGGATATTGTGAGCTATACTTGGCCTTTGCACTGGTTCTAACTATTACATTTTTTTCTTAGTCTTCCAAACAAGTTAAGAAAAACCTAACACGAACCATCTGTCTGGACGGTTACCTACACAACCTGCATCTGAAAAGCCAACCATCTCTAAATTCCCATATAGTCTTGAAACTAAACCCTTACCCAGAGCTCCCTCAAGTATCTCAAGATATGACCTTCGCCTTCCCAATACTGTTGTGTAGGACTTGTTGATCATGTAATTCTCAAATAAATAAACTTGCCAATACCAACAAGTCTCCTATATCATATAGACGATGAATGGCATAGTTCTTTGAGACAACGATATCTCTTCTTTTTTAATACTTTTATTTCTCTAGGTCCTTCATTTGCAAATTGTTTCTCAAGTGGATGTTTAACAAATGTATCCCCTGTATCATCACCATTTATTACAATATCGTGCACATAAATTGTCAGAATTCCTTTCTCACTACTGTAAACAAACACAACCTGGTCAAACAACTTTCTTTTCAACCTATATGTAAAAGCTCCTTGGTTGAATATACGAAAACAAGTCACGCAGCAGTAGATGGAATGGGAGTATTCGCTTCAGAATGAGATGCTACGGAGGTATCCATTGAGCACATAACTTGATAAGTAAGTTATCCCAAAGTTAACATGGTTTCCATGTACACCACAGCAACAGTCCACAACGTGGTGTTATCCCTGATAATTAGAGCACTTACACACTGATTTCATGACCAGTGTATCTACTCCAGCTTCTACCAAAACCACAGCCTCTATCTACCTCAATATCTTCTACGACCTCTACCGAAAAACTAGAATCTTGAACTATAATATCCCAAACTAAGACCTCTGAAACCACTACGCAATCAGAATCCTGTCCCCCTAAAGCAGACACAAAACTTGAATTACCCTTCCTGAAGTTTTGACACCAATAAGAATCCAGTACAAAACCACGAACTCGAGCATACACAATACTCAATGAAGGGATACTATCATCTCCTTGGAAAAATACCTTCACATTAGGTGGACTTGGATACAGTCCAAACAGAAACTTGGTAACATAGAACTCTTCACATTGTTTCTCAATGATCTCAACATCAGTGGTGATCATATGATGAAGCCAATCCAACGCATCTAATGACCCTTTGAAGACACTGTACTACTCACAGCATTATTTTGCAACTTACAAAACAAGTTTTGATGAATAATATAAACTGGAGATATATTTTTTCATCCAATATGGTTTACTGACTAACTCAAATCTCCTCAGCAGTAGCAAAACAATAAATTAGCACCAAGTGATGGCTCCATACCATTCCATAGCCATGACATAAACAAATGCTTCTGAAACTCCCATTCCTTGTACTCCATACTGCCTCGAGATGGGGGACTAGACAAAATATACTTCAACTTCCTCCTAGCACCCAACAAGTAATTAGAGTTCAATTTTCTGCTGCTGATTCGCCTATTAACAACACCAAATCCATCTTCATAGAATGAGACTTGGGCTCACTCTCACCCATCACAATATATTAGGGAGGACAACCAAAACCAAAAAAAAAAACAAACAATCCCACAAGAGCTCTAAGCACCAATACCAATATAAGCTATCAAATACCAACACAATTACATGGGTCAGTATTAAACATGCTCTGATATCATGTTAGAGCAGCTATAAAGAGAAAGAAAGACCAAATAACATGTGATAGGCAGTCACTAATCTGGTCATTGTCCTCTCTATAGTATTAACACAAAAAAAAACAATTACAGAAATGCCATCTTACTAATTCACTTTGATCAATTCATCGAAAATGTTTAATATCAACCTTCTGAAATAATTTGATCACTAATGAAGGTTGGTGGCTGTCACGTCATAAACTTACAAGACCAACAATCTAAATCAACAATCAGTAATTCTAGTAATGAGCATAGTTTCAAAAATCGACCCTAATGGGAAGTAAAGGCCCAAATTTTGCAGTTGGAATTTTTTTCACTCTCATAAGAGCCATATTTGGTAGCATAATGGGTGTGCAACAGCCGTAATGGGCAGATACGGGTCAATTGGCCCAATACAACCCTAAAACACAGGTGACTAGCCAGACACGAATGATTTTAATCCGAAAAAATCATATTTCAGTCACTTCTGCCCATTCTTAACCCTCTAATCTCAAGATCTACATGTTTCTTATATCAAAATCTTCACAACCCAAATTTTGAAGTTTCTAGAAGTTTGAAGCATAATGGAGCACTAAGCAGAACTTGCTTGTGACCTTGATCAGATTCTTCTGCTGACAACAGCCTTCCCAAGTTCTTTGTTTTGCAGCCAGTCAGGAACCTTCCAAAATCCATAGAAATTAAAAGCTGATTGGCAGTAACCCAACAAGCACCAATTCGTTTCCCTTAAGTCGCTTTGCCCAGATTCTTTTTTCCCCCTTCGAACACCAGTATATAATAAGTCAGTAAAGTTGGAAACTGGGAGTAATTGGACTAGGAATGGTAGTGAGTAGTGGAACCTAATTGAAGAAGTGGTGACTATAAGAGTGCTATGTCATTGATGCTAGATTTGTTTTAAGTGCATTATTTTAAGCAGTTTCTTCCATTGCCTGGTACAAAAGTGAAGGAAATCAAATTTTGACTTATTTTTTTTTATTTTCTTTTTTTTTTATTGGTTGGGTTTAAATTGGTGCATAAATTTATGTATTTTGGATTTTTTAACTTAGAATTTTGTTTTGTTGGTGATAGATTTGAGAAAATATCAGGCCATTATTCAATTTTAAAGGGTGGAATTGAAGAAAAAATCCAACCTCCAGTTTTCATTACCGTTGCATAACTGATAATGCCCCTTAAGTACAGCATCCATTAAAACATTGTTACTGTTACTGTAATCGTTATGGCAGCTGTTACCATTAGGTAAAAACTATGGCCATGTGACATGGTATACATAGCAAATTAGCACACACTAACCTTAATAAATTAGTTTGGCCAAATTATCTATTGCTGAGGGGTGTGAAATGGTCATTGCAGTTGTATGCCTGGAGTACACTAATACAATCCAGTTTGCCAAATTTTGTGCTACTCCTCTCTTGTCCATGGTCAAACATATTCCTGCCTATCATTACGAAATACATACCTTATGCAACAAATAGCAAACTCATAATGTGGATGTTGTAAACTAAAAAATGAAATCTCCATTTAAATGACAGTATACACTCTGGTGTACTTAGGAATGCTAGTACTGCAGGCCACAGCAGCAACAGTATGTTACAACAATATCTATGGGGTATGTTAGCTGACAATTGCCAGTGAAAACATATCTAGGTCATGTTTTCGCTGGCTACACTAACGTAGAAATCATGGACTAAAGTCCTAGAACTAGAGCACAAAAGCAAAATTGTTACCCACATACTGCAGTGCCTATTGGAAAACCTCTCATAATATTATGAGTATTTCAAAACTAAGTCGCATATATGAAATGTGTTTTCCAAAAACTGCAGTCCCAGTTGAAAAAACCTCACATACTACTAACGAGTATTTCA